GACTGGAAAGTACCAGAGAGATCACAGAGAGGGAGGAATTCAGGAGAGCAACCCCATAATTCCCCTTCATCCCTGAGCTGTGCATACGTGCTCAGCATGGATCTGATGCTAAATAGCATACCATACACTTGAGCGCTGAGGTATGGCATAGATCACCGTCCAGATCCAAGACTGGCCACTGGGTGGTGCATGGCTGGGACAGATTTGAATAGCACTGCAAAAGCTTTGAAAGCTGAACTGACATTGGAACCACAACCACAGAAGGCAGGTCAGGACTTCTAAATCTGACTTGGTCAATTGAGTGCCAAAACAAAAATATTACTGTTCTCCATAAGATTTAATTAAGATCTAGACACTTATAATATTCAAAATGTCTAGTATTTAATCCAAAATTACTCAACATATGAAGAACCAGGAAAATCTCAATTAGTATGAGAAAAGAGAGTCAATAGATGTCAAGGAAGAGATGACACAAATGTTGAAACTGTTGAAGATTGTTATAAAATGCTCCAAGTAGTAAGGATGAACACTCTTGAAACGAATGGAAAGGTAGAAAGTATCAACAAATAAATACAAGATATAAAGAGGAATGCAATAGAAATGTTAGAACTGAAAGTAGAATCACCAAAATAAAAAAAAAATCACTGATAGACTCAAGAGCTGAACAGACATGACAGAGAAAAGAGTGTGTGAACTTGAAGACAGCACCATAGAAATTATCTAGTCTGAACAACAGAGAAAAAAGATTGGAAAAAAACCGAACAGGGCCTAATGAGCTGTGAGGCAGTACCTAATTTATGTCATCAGAATTCCAGAAGAAGATTTTAATAAAGAAGTATTTGAAGAAATAATATATGAATATTTCCAAGATTTGACAAAAGACATAAATCTACAGATCCAAGAAGCTCAGTGAAGAACCCCAAACAGGATAAACCACCCCCCAAAAAATTTATTCCCACATCATAAATCAAACCTCTGAAAAATGAAGACAAAGACAAAATTCTTGAAACCAAGCAGAGAAAGATGACACTTTGCTCATAGAGGAACAATGATTTGAACACTGTGGATTTCTCATCGGAAACCGTGGAGGCCAGCACATCTTTAAAGTGCTGAAAAAGAATGAACTGTTGACCCAGTGAAAATATACTTCAGAAATAAATTTGAAATAAAGACATTCTCAGATAAAAGAACGTAGAGGATTCATTGCTAGCAGACTTGCTCTAAAATAATTGCTAAAGGGATTGTGAATCAGTAACCAAAAAACTTCCTACGAAGAATTATGTTAAGTGAAATAAGCCAGATAGAGAAGGACAATCTCTGTATGACTTCACTCATATGAGGAATTTAAAAACGTAGACAAAGAGAACAGATTAGTGGCTACCAGGGGAAAGGTGGGGTGGGGGGTGGGCACAAAGGGTGAAGTGGTGCACCTACAACACGACTGACAATAATGCACAACTGAAATTTCACAAGATTGTAAGCTATCATTAACTCAATAAAAATTAAATTAAAAAAAAAAACTTCCTACAAAGAAAAGCTCAGGCCTAAATGGCTTTAATGGTGAATTCCACCAAATGTTTAAGGAAGAATTAACTCCAATCCTTCACAAATTCTTCCAAAATATAGACACAGAGGGAACACTTTCCAGCTCATTCTCTGAGTTCAGTATTATCCTGATGTCAAACCAGACAAAGACATTACAAGAAAACTACAAACCAACACCCCCTGGTAATACAGATGCAAAAATCCTCAATGAAATATTAGCAAACTGAATCCAGTGACATATGAACAAGGTTTATCCTAGGAGTGTAAGGTTGGTTCAACAAAAAGAATCAATCACTGTAAAACATCACATTAAGAGAATAAAGGATAAAAACCACATGATCATCTCAATAGATGTGGAAAACATATTTCACAAATAAAAACACTCAACAAACTAGAACAGATGGGAACTTCCTCAAATGAATTAAGACATTAACAAAAAACCCACAGCTAACATCATACTTAATGGTGAAAGACTGATAGATTTCCCTCCAAGATCTGGAACAAGACAAGGATTTCCTCTCTTGTCACTTCTAGTCAACATTACACTGGAGGTTCTAGCCAAGGCAATTGGGCAACAAAAAGTACTAAAAAGCATCCAGATTGGAATGGAAGAAGTAAATTATCTCTATTTTCCAATGTTATGATCTTTATATATAAAATCATAAGGAATCCACGAAAAACACTATTGGACGTAACAAACAATTTTAATAAGGTTACAGGATACAAGATCAACATACAAAAATCAATTGTATTTCTATATACTAACAATGAACAATCTAAAAATGAAATTAAGAGAACAACTCCATTTACAATAACATCAAAAACAAGACCATTTATATGAAACACCCATATAGGTAAATCCATATGGATGGAAAGTAGATTGGAGGTTGCCACAGGGGAGGGGCATGGACAATGACCGCTAATGGGTATATGGTTTCTTTTTGGGTTGAAGAAAATATTCTGGAAAAGTTCCACAACTTTGTGAATATACTAAAAACCAATGAATATACACTTTAAAAATGTGGGTGTTATAGTGTGTCAATTATATCTCAATTTTTACAAGAGAAAAAATGCTTAGCAATAAATTTAACAAAGTTATATATAATTTCCTAGCTCTGTCTGCTGAGAGGACCTGGGAGGAGACACAAGCCAGTTGCAGTGAGCATAGCTAGTGCCTAGATGTTGGTCTCTGAATACTCTTCTCTAAAAGGAACCAGGGGAAATGCTTGATTCCAGGACTGGAGCAGGGAAAGTACAAGATGACCTGGAATATCTTCCAAGTAACAAAATATGGAAGTGCTCCAGGAATGAAGGGAACATATCAAAAGGACACAGGAGCCAGACTGAAGGGGCTACCATTGGCTAACTCTAGGGCAATTCGAGCATCAAAATAAGCAAAGTGATGAATTACAATCCATTCAATAGAACTCATGAGCCTATACTGATATAAATAAATGAATATGTAAATAAATGGGGCACCTCAAGATCCTTAACTTGATCACACCGGCAAAATCCTTATGCCATGTAAGGCAACATAGTCACAGGTTTTGAGAATTAGGACATGGGCATCGGTGGGGGGCCGTTATTCTACCTACCACAACTCCCAACCTTCTACGGGCGGAAAGCGGTCTAAGACAACTACTCAGCTGCAAACACAGGTCCATGGCCATTCCAACATTCCTACCCCAAGGAGAAGTGTTATGAGAGAAACTGTGATGGAGAGGGTGTCAGAGTGGAATGAGACAATTTAACCAATTGTGGTTAAAAATTTTGCCAATTTAACAAATACATACAAGAGTGTGAACACATTGCTAGGCTCCCCCATGCTCCAATCCTGAGGGCTTTGAGAAGGGTTTGTGCAAATTAGAGGCCTTGAAGCTAAAGCTTCAAAAGCTTCAGGGTAAATCTGCCTCGAGTAGCAATTAACAACAGGGCATCTGGATCCACGCTATCTAGGTTCAGGTCCCTGTTCTACACTTACTAGTTGTGTATGTTTATTATGTTGATGTTACCAGAGTGGGTTCTCCAGAAACAGATGCTGAGATAGAGTCTAGGTGCAAGTTATTCATTAGGGATCAACATCTGTGAAAGGGAGAGGCAGCAGGAAGGGGCAGAGGGAGAGGTCCAAGAGGCTTGATGGAGCCTTGATCAAGGAGGCAGGAGGCATAGAGCTAGTATTCCTGTCAGAGCTGTCTCACGTTGGGCCTAAATAGCCGGGCCTTTGTTCCTTCCTCTAGCTCACCGCATGACTGAGTGGCACCTTACAAACTTCCACTGGATTTTCACGGAGAACAGGCTCAATTCCTGAGCATGACATACAAAGCCCCTTCACAATCTGAGTCCCAACCACAAGGAACTTTTCATCATTTCTGGAAGTCAAACTGTTTTCCGTCTCCAAAACTTGGTACACATGGGTAACTTCTGCCAGGAAAGCACATCCCTCTCTTGCCTGTCATCTTCCAGACAATTCCTTTTCATCCTTTTGGACCTGCACAAGCCTCTGTGAAGCCCTTTTCACCACCTATGCAGGGACGAGGGCTCCCTCCTCAGTGTCACCATTGCTCACTGCACAACCCTCAATTACCCTGATAGCACTTTTTGGTGGTTATTTGTTCACATATCTGTTTCTCCTTGTGAGTTCAGGGTTGGATCTGCTATTTCTCTGTGTCCTTAGCACAGTAACAGAGGTGATAAATATTTGTTAAATGAATGAATGAATGAACATTACCTAGGAAAGAGGGGAAAAGAATAAGTAGCCTACAGTATAATAATAATAACAATATTTTTGTTTGCTTAAGAGACCATAGGTATACAGTATAGAGCAGTGGCCCTGAGCCCAGAGTTTTCGGTTCTATAGCTTGTAGATTTGTCATGCACTGACCTTAACCGCCTTCACCGTCTTCACACACTGACCCTTATGGCCTTCTTTGACCCTCTCTGGTCAAGATTCTACTCATCCTTCAAGATAGCTCGGATGTCAAGCATTCGTGTGAAGTGTTTTCCTCCCTCTGCTCTCTCGGCCCTCTTTGCCCACACCGCTATTACTAAAACGCATCATTTACGCATTTCCCCATCAGAATCCAGTGGTGTTTCTGTATTTCCACCCTCTGATCCAAGGGGGTAAATATTTTGGCAATGGCGTGGTACAGCCGTAGACCAGTGAATTCATCGCTCACCCACCTCGGCCTCAGTTTCCCCAGGTGTGAAGTGGGCACAGAGGAAACATCTTCCCAGGGCTGTGATTTAGTAGGGGGCGGGCAGACAGTGAGGTTGCAGGCAGCCCCCACGCAGTCGGAGGCGCGAAGGGGCAGGAAGGTAGGAGATGCAGAGCGAGGGGAGGCGTCAGCGCCGAGAAGGAGTCGGGGGCGGGGGCCGAGGCGGGGGGGCCAGGCGGGCCGGGCAGCGGGGCGGGGCCGAGGCGGCGGGGCCGGGAGCGGCGGGGCGGGCCGGCTGGACGGGCCGAGGGGACGCGCGCGAGCGCCGGCATGGGCCCCGCGGCGCGGCTGGCGGCGCTGCTGGCGCTGCTGGCGCTCCGGGCAGGGGACCGGGCAGGGGCCGCGGCGCGCGGGGACACGTTCTCGGCGCTGACCAGCGTGGCGCGCGCCCTGGCGCCCGAGCGCCGGCTGCTGGGGCTGCTGAGGCGCTACCTGCGCGGGGAGGAGGCGCGCCTGCGGGACCTGACCAGGTGAGGGCTCGGCGGCGGGAGCGGCGGGGACGCCGGAATGGGGGAGACCGAGTCAGAGGGGGAGACCGAGACACCGTGCTACGGGGTGGGGTGACTCTGAGGTTCATTGTCGTCCTGTGTGGGACCTCAGACCCCGTGTCACACTGTGAGACTGAGACACTGTGGCCCAATGGGACCTCCCCAGATCCATTGTCACCCTGTGTAGGACCCCGAGACACTGTGGCGTGGGGTGATGGGGAAGCTGAGACTGATTATGACCCCAGAGATGCGGTGTCACACAGTGTGGGTCCTCAGACTCTGTCACACACACACTATGGCACTCCAGATCCAGCGTCACACAGCGAAGTTGATACACTGTGGAAAAGTGTGGAGGAGAGACTCTGAAGCCGAGGACCTCACAAGGCACTGTGTACAGCTGTGTGGGCCCCAGGTCCTGTGTCAGAGACACAGGCATACTGCCGGAGTGAGATGGAGAGAATACTGTGTGATGCTGTAGCCATATGTGTGTTGACCATGTGACCCAGTGAACTGGTATTTTGTATAAGGAGTCAGGTGATGTTCTGTGACCACGTAGGAGATTTACATGTCATTTGGATGGATGAGGACGACGCTATGGATATCATACTCTGCATGTGAAAGGTGCCGAGTAATTGTACAGGTCACTCTATGAATAATGCTTCATGTTCATCAATTCATTCAACACATATGTTTGAGTGCCTATTGTGAGCCGGGCACTGTTCTAGGCACTCGGCATAAAATAGTGAACCAGACCCAACTGTGCCCTCGAGGAGCTTGTAGTCTGTAGCATCATGATTGGTAATCAGAGATGTCCACTGCCTCCTTTGCTTTCAGCTCTCCCTTCTCTTTACTTGTGAAGGAACTCTCTAAATACTAACTAAACGATAACTGAAATGTTATATGTGTGTGGAAGTATCTGTCACCAAGAAAACACCGGGTAAAACTATACTTGATGCTAGAGGATACTGAGTGTAGTACACACAAGCAGATGCTCGGCCAATATTGTTTTGCTATCCAGTCAACAAACTCTAGTGCTACATACTGTGAGATAAAACTCCATAACCATGCGTTGACTCTGTCAGTGTCAACCTAGGAAAGATGAATGACTGTATCTGATGCCATGTGTATCATATACACATATGTGTTGTGTCTTCTGTGCTTGGGACATCAAGAAGCCCGCAGCGTGAGAAACTGTGGAGTAACCATGTTGCTGTCTGCATATATTCATATTGTACTTCTATCATGTGACTCTGTCTCACAATGGACTGCTTATAAGCCTGTGAGTGAGTGGATGTGATAGTAATACCGATTCTGGGGCATGTGGGAAGGTGTGTGGGACACCGTGGCTGTGTGAGCGAGCCCACGTACAAGAGAATCAGTTTGTGTGTGGAGGTGTGTGTGGGAGATGTTGTTTTTCAGTGGTGACTGAATCATGATGTGGTTTGGTACATGCTCTTAAGTGTGTAGCTGGCATATAAGCAGTTGTATGCATGTTTAAATTTACTGTTAGTTTGAAATAGTGTGATCACACACACACACACACACACATAATGTTTGTTAAGTCTGTATTAATTGTAACAATAAATGATGATAATTTCAATAATTCTTGTCACTCTTTGGAGTAGCATGGTTGCTTAGTGTTTTGTGGGCCCACGTTTACAGGGCGAAATGTTTTAATTTTGTCCTTAGTCTGGATTCATTGGAGTTCAAGTTCATTAGTGGAAATGGAACAGCCTCTTTTCTCTCTGATTTGAGATACCAGCATGCTCCCTGCTACCCATGTGCTTGTTCTCCTCCCCCTGATCTCTTTGTTTGTGTGGCTCAGAATCCCGGTGCCAGGCCCTCAGGGAGCAGGCTCAGAAGCGACAGCTTGCAGCATTGAGGGTGGCGGGGGCCCCCATCTTCATGCTGGTCTCTTTTACTGTCTTACCACCATTATCATTGTCACAGCTTTATCACAGTGGGAGGTCTTGCACAAACCTTATCTTATTTGATTCTCTCTCACACACAATGGTTTGAAATAGGTTTGTTTTACCCTCTTAAACAAATGAGAAATCATGTAAAATATGAGGAAACTAAAGTTTAGTACCTTATCCAAGATTATAAATCTGGTAGGTAGCAAATCCAGGACTAGGACACAGTTCTTTTGATTGTTTCTTTCCAGCGTGCTGTGCTGTCCTTACTGCTTACATTATCTGACATGCCAGGACCCAGACCAAGCCCCATAACCGCTGAGGTTTTATGAGCAGCTGGAGTACATAGTGGTTAAGAGTCTGGATTCAGGAATTTAACAAACTCTGTTTGAATCCATGGCTCTGAGCTTGGGCGAATTCCTCTACCTCCTTAAGCATTGGTTTCCCAATCTGTAAAATGATGATAATGCTGGTACCTACCCCCATAGCGTTGTTGGAAGGACTAAATACCGTGTAAAGGTATTTATCATTGTGCTTAGAATATAGTAATTGCTCAACAAATGTTAGCTCTTTATGATTTTTGTTTATTTGAAGACTGGCTGGTGAAACTAGACCCCGCTTTTGGCTCTAAGCAGTAACTCGGATTGTGAGAGCCCAGAAAATAAAAAACAATCGGAGAAATTCTAGATTCTCTTCTCATGTGATTTATGAGCATTTCATTTCAGAAAGTTTAGTTTGATATTTTAGAGACTCTTTGTTCTCTAGTCAATGCCCTAAAACCTAGTGAAATGTTTGCTTTTTAAAACGAGAGTTTTGGCAGTTCCTGCTCATTTTCCTAGACTCCCAATCTGGTGAGTTTATGTAACTTGAGATGTTATTTCTAAGGGCCTCAGTTGATGCACTTCTTTAAATTTCCAAATTTAAACATGAAATATTTTTTGATGTTGAAACTACTTCCTACCCCAAGTTAATGAATAAAAATTATACTAGTTATAGTATATATAGTCATATACTAATATATATAATATATATAAATATATGTATATATTCAGTTAGCCCTAGCTTTTTTTGTTGTTGCAGTTTTAAAGAACTACCAAAATTGGAAGAGTGGTATCAGCTGCAATTATTTCTGGTTAGGAATTAAGCATTCAGAATGTCTCAGAAGAACTGAGACAAAGCCATTTCTGAATTCCAAAGGAGAAACATATTGAGTTAAAATAGCCCATGCATTGTGGTTGGATAACCTGTCCAGGCTGTGTTAAAGGCAGGGATTGGGTTGCAAATTTGTTGTGCAGATTCTTGAAGCAAAGGATCTGATTTTCCACTCTCAGCAGCATTTGTTAAAGCAAAAACCCATTTAGGAAACCCTGAGGTTGGAATTCAGCATCCAGTAACTTGGGCTCTGAAAACCAGCTATTTGCTCAGAGGCTGGGCATAGGGCCAATGTTGGGATTCCAAGCCAGCCTCAGATATCAGTTGATAGGTTTTTTTTTTTCTTTGTGTAACTGAAAAATGATGTATCTGAACACTGAATTGAATTATGTGCTACAGTAGAGATCAAACCCCCGCCCTAAATAAATTGACCCCATAATACAAAGTGGGATGCCAAGAGAACAAGGAGATGGTGCTTTTGATTTGATGGATGACTTGGGACAAATCGTCACCTCTCTGCCTTCCCTCTTTCCCTTTGTGCCTCAGTTTTCTCCGATGCCTGTTAAACATTTGTCCTCAAGCACCAAATGAGGAATCTATTTATTCACTTGTGGAAAAGGTAATGGAAAGAAATAATACAACGATTGTGCTGAAAGGATCCATAGAGATCTTCTAGTCTAGACCAGCTCTGTCGTTTTATAGAGGAGGAAACTGAAGGATAGCTGGAGGCTGGGTCAGGACACCTCTCAGCTCCTCCTGATCCAACTGTCTTATAAAATCACTGCCCACTCAGCCTCGGTGGTCCCTGGACACTTACTCTTCAGGCTGGACTCCAGCCCAAGTCTCAGCTTGTAAGTGTTCGTCTAGCAGTGGAATATCTTCCGCTAAGTAGTTCCATATGGAGCTGAAGCAGGAAATAATGGGTAGTAAAAAAAACTGCCACACCCTGGAGACTGGTTTGGTTTCAAAACCCTAGAGTAGCTGCTCTCAGACAGCCCTGTCTTAGGGATTAGAGACATCCTGGGACTTGACAGGCTTCCCAGTTCCTGTGAGGGGCACCCAGGCCCCGAGTCTCGTTCCTTAGTTTATTCTTGAATTGAACGTTTGGCTCCCTGGAAGCATCTCGAGGCCAGTCATCTTCTGTTTCAGGCTCCGCTTCCTGAACGGAGGGAACGTTGAGGGTCCCACCCTTGAGAAATCTCCAGGTCAGACGCTGCTTCAAGGGATTGAAATCTCCCACCATGCCGCTCCCTCTGTTCTTCACTTTCATCCCTTTCCACTCTTGGAAGTCCCCCGCTCTGGCCAAAGGACTCCTATGTTCTCACATGCTCTTGCACACATTCGTATACATCCATAGCCTTTTCACTTTGCACACACTTTTTCCTTTTACTTCCGTTATTATTATACTTCTTTTGAAATTAATAATTTTAAAACACGGGAAAAAATTCTTAGAGGGCAGGACTAGAACTCTTAAGTCTGCCCTATTACAACCAATAAATTCCAATAATATAGAAATAACAAGTGTTGGAGAGGATGCAGAGAAAAGGGAACCCTCATACACCACTGGTGGGAATGCAAACTGGTGCAGCCACTGTGGAAAACAGTATGGAGATTTCTCAAAAAATTAAAAATAGAAATACCATATCATCCAGCTATCTCATTACTGAGTATTTATCCAAAGAACATGAAATCAACAATCCAAAGAGATCTGTGCATCCCTGTGTTCATCGCAGCGTTATTCACAAAGCCAAGACATAAAAGCAACCGAAGTACCCATCAACGGATGAATGGATAGAGAAGATGCAGTATATTTATACAATGGAATACTAGTTAGCCATGAAAAATGGACAAAATCATGCCATTGGCAACAACATAGATGGACCTTGAGAGTATTATGCGAAGTGATATAAGCCAGACAGAGAAGGACAAACACCATATAATTTCACTCATATGTGGAAGACAAACACATGAATAAGGAGAACGTGTTAGTGGTTAACATAGGGGAAAGGAGAAGGGGGAGGGTGAAAGGGATAAAGGGGCACATATATATAGTGACAGATGAAAACTGGGCTATTGGTGGTGAACACGATGCAGTCTCTGCAGAAACTGATAAATAATAATGTACAACTGAAATTTACACAGTGTTATAAGCCAATATGACCTCAATAAAATAATTTTTAAAAAACTATCCCATTAGTGTCTTAGAAATGGAATAACCGTAGTATACCAGAAAAGGAAAGAGCATCTTTTGCTTATATGAACACTTTTGCAGGACATCCAAGGATGAGAGAAATTAACCAGAAAGATGATCACTTCTGGCCCCACCATTTCTGGCTCTTTACTGTCAATGTCAGCAAGCCAGGAAGATTGGAAGCATGCTGGACAGCCCCACCTCTTCGTTCCCCATTACTGCCATCACCAGTTTCTATATGCTCTGCTTCCTAAATACCTCCCTTGGGTCCATCCCATCCTCTGGCCCCACTGTCACTGTTGTGGTTCAGATTCTCCTTGTTTCTTGCTTACAGTTTGGAAATGGCCTGCCCACTGATCTTTCTGCCTCCAGTCACTTCTGCTTTTTAACCTTCCTCCTCCTCCTCTCACGGATTTGTTTATGTAAACATATCGCAGTGCATCCCATTTTCACCTAAAACTTTTTGGTGGCTCCTGATTGCAATCAGGGTGAAAACCAAATTCCGCAGCCAGGCTTATGAGGCGCTCCTCATTCTCCAGTCTGATCTCCTACCCATCTCCTAACACACCCTGTGCTCCAGCGATACTAAACTGCTCGCAATTCCCCTACTGCTTCTCTCTGTACCTTTGCGTATGTTGGGCTGTCTCTGCCTACGTGGAAGGAGGCCTGCTTCTCCCTTCCTCTTTATTTGCATTCACCCATCAAGTCTCAGTTTATTATCTCCTCTGTGAAGCCTTCTCTGACCTGCTGTGGCCGAATTAATCACCCCCTGTCTATACTCCCCACTAAAGCTGGTGTTAAATCTGGTGTTGCATCTCTAATGTAATTATTTGTATCTGTCTTACCCACAAGACTGCAAGTCTTTGAGACCAAGGTTATTGTCTTATTGAAAATTTTGTTCCTCATTCCTAGAAGAGTATATTTCATTCATTCTTTCATAGAATTACATATAGAACTTAGGTATAGAGTGAGGAGAAAAACAGCTATTTTCTTGCTTGTGAAATCCTTGAGCGTTGGACCCTGTCTTGCCTTTGCATCCCCAGCATGGAGTCTGACATCTAGCAAGTAACCAGTATAGACTGACTTGTTGAATGGACAAATATATATCAAGCCTCTGTGCCCTTGTATACACTGGTCCCCGCTGGCTTGAAAAACATTCTTCCTCCCCTCTTTGTTCTGGCTCCATGGAAATCAGTATGGCAAAATCAGCTGAGAACTGGCTTCAGAGTCAGGCACACTTAGCTTCAATCCTGGCTTTGTCACTTACTAACAGTGTGGCCTTGTTTCAGTTTCCTTTCCTATAAAATGGGTATGATAAAATCTACTCTAAGGGTTGTTGGGGGAATTAAATGAGACAATATATGTAAAGCACTTAGCAGGATGCTTAATACATGGTGAGGGCTCAATAAAGAGCTGTCAGAGCTATCAATATTTTAACTAATCCTTCAGGACTTAGATCAAGTGCCATCTCCTCTGAGAAGTCTTCCTTCACCCCTTCCACTCCCACCTGGGTTAGGTGCCCTGCCTACAAATTGCCATAGCATTACATAGCATTGTATGCTCACTTCTCTCACAGCATGTAGCACAATTATTATAATTCATTCAACAACATTTTTGAGTGCCTACCAGATTCTAAATATTGGGTATAGAGTGATGAGAGAAAAGAAAATTTTCTTATTTGTGAACTTGAGAGCTCGACTCTGCCTTGCCTGTGGATCTCTGGCATCTAATATGGTGCCTGATGTACTGTAATTGACCATCAGAGACGGACTCATTGAATGAACAATGAGCGGACCTACTTTTGTTGTGTTGGTAGTTTTCATATTCTTTGTACTTGTTGGTTAGAATACTACGTGAGTCTCAAGAGGTTCCGCATTTCATTTTTGACTACTGAATGTGTATACACCATGCCAGCCTTCCTAGGGGTAGTGGTTGTATCAGTAGGTGAGATCATTCGTTCTACCCCTCTCTTTCAGATTCTATGACAAGGTGCTTTCTTTGCATGAGGATTCGGCAACTCCTGTGTCTAACCCTCTGCTTGCATTTACTCTCATCAAACGCCTACAGTCTGACTGGAGGAATGTGGTACATAGTCTGGAGGCCAGTGAGAACATCCGAGGTAATGAGGAGGAGGGCTGGAGGGTAAGAGAAGATTCTATCTCCTGACTCAGTGGAAAGGAGAGAGATTCTGATGGGATGTGATGAAGGATAATGAAGTGGGTAGGTATTACTTAATCTCCTTAGCTCTAACTATTACAAAGAACCAGATCCCCTTGTTAATATGTTTACATGATTATACATTAGGAAACACTTGCCTATCCATTATCTCATTTGATCTTCACTACAATCCTGTGAAGAACTATACATTATATCATCCCATTTACATATGTGTAGGAAGTGATGTCTTCTAATAATTCCTGTTTTATTAAGTTGCACTACAGTGTTATCTGTAGCAAGATCACTTTCCTAATTTACTCAACTTTGTACTTGAACAAGTTTGTTGACTTTGGGGAAGTTAAAAGGAGGAAGAATTGTCCCTGCAAAGGGGAGACAGATAGGATGGGAGAACGTGGTAAAGGTGTGTGCTTTAGTTTTTCTCCAGAGTGTTTGTTCCTCCTTCAGAAGATTGTGTTAAGCATCCTCTCTGTGCCAGGGACTGTGCTTGCCACTGGGAACAAAAGAAAATCAAACGTCATCTTTGCTCATGAAATATTCGAGTAGGTGATGATGCCTTGCATGTGTTAAATGCTCGCCACCTGTTTTCTGAATGGTGGGTTGATGTTTTCACGACCTTTACAGCTCTGAAGGATGGTTATGAGAAGGAGGAGCAGGACCTGCCAGCCTTTGAGGACCTTGAGGGAGCAGCGAGGGCCCTGATGAGGCTGCAGGATGTGTACATGCTCAACGTGAAGGGCCTTGCCCGCGGCGTCTTTCAGAGAGTCACGGGCTCGGCTGTGACTGACCTGTATAGTCCCAGACGGCTCTTCTCCCTCACAGCAGATGACTGCTTCCAAGTTGGCAAGGTAGATATTCAGCGAGAGGTGACTTGCTGGACTCTAGTTTCTTGTGGACCAAATAAGTATATCCTGATTGCTTTTATATTTTTCTCATCCTTACAGCAAACTCGGAAATTTAGTATTATTCCCCATGTTCAGATGAGGGAAGTGAGGTTCAGAGAGGATAAATAACTTGCCTAAGGTTACACAATTTTAAGTGGCAGAACTAAAATTTGAACCCAGTCTTTAACTCCAGATCCCACGTTCTTTCCATGATGGCTAAGGTGATCTTATACTTAGGTCACTCTTCAGAGTGAAGGGGGTGTTATTAGTTATGCCAGGACAACAGATGGTCCTTTGGTCACCCTAACCATAGCACCCTGCCAGGAGATGAACAGTGGGGTGGAAGGGAGAAGCAGGGTTAAAGGGCAGGGGAAAGGGATGAGAGATGGTGATGTGAAGGTAAGATCATGGAAACTCAGCTTCCTGAGACGTTCTGGAATCCCTTGCAACATTTCCTAGACATTTAGAAATACTAAATTAAAGTAGTGTCAGAAAACTGAGGCCATTCACTTTAACATTACTGGAGGAAATTGACTTCAGGAACCTTCCCTATGAGATATTTAACCGATCTTTGATCTTAAGTTATAAGCACACTTGAGGTCATTTTACAATATACTCTTTGTCAGCCTTTACCTTAAAAAGTAATGGATTAAATTCTTTTTAATTTTGAAGATGCATATTGCAGGAATTTTTTCCAGCCCCTACGGTATTCATTAGCTGATCTGAGAGTGGGCCTCCTGTGTCCTCATTCCAAGTTTTGGGACTCTGTCTTCCAAATAAATGCAGAGTGAGTTGCCCTAAGCCTCTCTATGTGCCATTTTCCTTTTCTGAGATCCTGAATGAAATCGGAGCTCAATCCTCATGTGCATGGCTAATTGAAATTTAAGATGGTTAACATAGTTCCATGTGTGGTACCCATATGTGCTTCATTCGTGAGGCCTTTCTGAGGCTCAAACCATATGTAGAAAATTTAGTCAGTCACTTCCTGAAAGTCTCACTTTATTTCTGTGTTTATTTACTTATTTTCAAAGATAAAACATTTCAAATATAAGGAAAGTACATAAAATAATATAACAAGCAATTATATCTATAATTGAGATGAAATATATGTTCAAATATTGCTATATTTGTTTCAGATTTTTAAAAAAGATTAATATATAGCTAAATAAAGCCTCATTCCTCTCCCTTCTCACCGCCCCCAACCCCTTCTACCCTACCCTTGCCCGGGAGCCGGGTAAGCATTGTCCTGAACCGTATGCTGTGTACTTTCCCTAGTCCAGCTTCTTTCACTCAGTGCTTTATGTCTGTGAAATTCCTCCACATTCTTGCATTTATTAGTAGTTCATTCCTTTTTATTGCTGAGTAGTATTCCATTGTATGAATACGTCTCAAACTATTTATCCAGTCTCCTGTGGATGGGTACTGGGATTGTTTCCAGTATGGACTACTGTGAAGAAAGCTGCTAGTAACATTCTTACGTAGGTCTTTCTGCGGACATTTGTTTTCATTTCTCTTGGGTAAATATCTAGGAGTGGTATCACTGGGTCGAAAGATAAGCTTCAGTTGTTATTAACACATGGTTAAATTTGTTTCATCTACACATCTCTAGTCCCTCCTTTGTGAGTGATTTTGAAGCAGATTAGTCTATATTCTGACATTCTTAATTTCAGATTAAGAATTTAATTCTTAATTTCTAATTCTACTACCCTACTATTGTGTCTGTTGATTTTTCTTCATGATAGATTATTTCCTGATATAGTTTATCATGTTTGATTGTAAGCTTATTTCTAGCAGGACTTTTCCCCCCTAAGGCAATCTCTGTGCCCGGAGTCGTGGAAATAGCCCTCCAGAGAGTTTTGGGTTTTCTTCTTCAGGTACTCTGGTGGTCTCACTGGCCTTAGAGCCTTTTTGTTGTTGTTGTTGTACATTACATCCCCATGACTTATTTATTTTATAACTGGATCTTGGACCTTTTGACTCCCTTCATCCATTTCACACATCCCTTACCCTCTGCCTCTGGCAACCAATTTGTTCTCTGTATCTATGGGATTGGGTTTTTTTTTTAGATTCCACATATAGGTGAGATCATACAGTATTTGTCTTTCTCTGTCTAACTTATTTCATTTAGTGTAATGCCCTCAAGTCCATTCATGTTGTTGCAAATGGAAATATTTCCTTCTTTTTTATGGCTGAATAATATTCCATTGTATACATCTACCACATTTGCTTTATCCATTCATCCATTGATGGACACTTAGGTTATTTCCATATCTTGGCTGTTGTCAATAATGCTACGGTGAACATGGGGTTCAGAGATCTTTTTGAGTCAATGTTTTCGTGTTCTTTGGATAAATACCCAGAAGTGGAATTGCTGGGTTATATGCTAGTTCTATTTTTAATTTTTTGAAGAACTTCAGTACTGTTTTCCATAGTGGCTGCACCAATTTACACTCCTACCAACAGTGCATGAGAGTTCCCTTTTCTCCACATCCTCACCAACACTTGTTATTGTTTGTCTTTTTGATAACAACCATTCCAACAGATGTGAGGTGATATCTCATTGTGGTTTTGATTTGCACTGCCTTAGATCCATTTTTATATTGATTTATTGGCCTGGGGATTCCTTAACTATATGAGTCACACAAATTCAAACTGTAAACTCATGTGAAGCACAGGCTCACAATTGTGAATATTCTAAGGAGACACTTTATTTCCCTACACACACACAAACCAACTTTCTTGTCTCTTTATGACAGTGGGTAGATTTTTTTCTGGTCCACTCTTTCCTTTAAGGTATAGTTTTTCATGGATTTCAGTTTTATGAGTGTGTCTTAGTTCTGATTCCTAGATTTTTGGAGGTCTAAGGAAGGCTCATCTTTTGTCCTCACGTTTGTGTTATAACCTAAGGTTACTAAGTATCGAGATTACTGAGACAACACCCACTCCCATCCTAGGCAGCTTCAGCATCTGCTCATAAGCTTATTGCTTAGGTTTTTAGCTCCTTTCTTGTTTCTGGTACGTGGGTATTTTCCATTCTTTCTTGAAAATATATAATGAAATGCCTGTTATATTTTATTCAAAATTTCTAAGTCTTTGTGTTGGAAGGATCCCAGTTATCTCAATCTACCACATGACTGGACTTGAGTTCCTCATTAATAAAGTGAATTGTTAACTTAGCAGAACAAGTGCACTCGTTTTTTATTGTTTTTCTTCAACTCAACCTTTTTAGAAATAGGAAACTTGGGGACCAGAAATATAACACAGCAGGCTAATGGCAGACCTGGGATAGGAACTGATTTATTATTTAGGCTGCACAGTTGCAGTATCTCTAGGTTCTGCCCTGTCTTTCTGCCTGTCTGGAAGTTATACTGAAATTAAATCATTTCATAAGAGTTCTTCCAACCCTGTGGCTTTATAATTCCATGCTGTCTCCAACATCAATTTCCAGGAAATTCCTCCTGCAGTTCTGGTATTCTGGTTAACTGTAAACTATTAGGAGACAGGAGCTATGTCTAGGCCATGTTGCCATATTCCCCAGCATTCCAACATCTAATATATGACACATCCACTGAGCTCCCATAGCATTCCCACATCTACCTTCGTTATGGTGTCTAAGGCATTGTGTTGCAATTGTTGGTTTGCTCACATGCCCCTCACTTGGTTGAAGCTCTTTAAGGGCCAGGACCACCAGGTACATTGTAAATACTCAGCAAATACTGAATAAATAAATGAAAGAATTTAATCCATTTCTCACATTGCTAACAGCAATATCTTCCTGAAAACATGGCATTCACGACTCTCATTAGCTTAACCCATGCTGCCTTTTAAAGTTCATTTCCTGCTTCTCTTCACCTTAGGCTATAGCCACAATGTACTACTTGAACACATCCTTGCTTTTGGCTTCTGTTTCTACCATTCCCTAGTCTTAAAATACCCTTCCTTCCACTCTCTGCTCATTGAAATCCTTTTCCTTCTTCAAGGAAGGCCCTTCTCAAGTGGCACTTATTCCATGAAGCCTTTTGAGATTCCCAAGTCTCCTCCTTTCTCTATACCTCCATGGCATATTATGCATATTTCCTTCAAGCATTCATGCCATTCTGTCCTGTATTATAGCTACCTGAGTTCATCTCTTTCTCCTTCCCAGATTATAAGTTCCTTAAATGCAAGAACCCTTGTGTCTTCTCTATACCTAGTATGATGCTTTGTATAATAGATGCTTACTAAATTGAATTTAAGTGAATTTGAGATGAAAACTTGCCTCTTGGGTTCCAAAGGCCCTCCACTCTTTGCATAGTCATTTCCTTTCTTCTACCTGTGGACTAAGGCTTAAATGGTGGTACCTTTGTTCCCTACAGGTGGCCTATGACATGGGGGATTACTACCATGCCATCCCGTGGCTGGAGGAGGCTGTCAGTCTTTTCCGAGGATCTTATGGAGAGTGGAAGACAGAGGATGAGGGAAGTCTAGAGGACGCCTTGGATCACTTGGCCTTTGCCTATTTCCAGGTCGGGGAATAAGTGAGGGTCACTGCGTTCATCACAATGAGTGTGATGCTTTATATCTGCTTTACAACTTTCTAAGCATTTTCATGTCTCTTCATTTATTTCGTCTTCCCAACAGGACCAAATGTGAGTCAAGCAGGGCAGTTGTTTTATTATTCCCATATTTCACATGTGAGTAAACTGAATCTCCAAAAACTTCCTAACTTGTCACAAAGTTCACAGAGCTGGAATTAGAGCCCAAGTCTGTCTGCCTCTTAGTCCGGCACTCTTTCCCATGTGTTGACAGCTTTACAGTCATCGTCTGCCATGTAGGAGGCAGTCTCACCTGGGCAGCAGCGGCTGCATCGACGGATGTTTGATGGGTACACAGTCAATGTAGATCACTCTTTTGCACTCTCAACAACTCATAACTCTTCACAGATGTTATGCCATGATATTGCCAATGTCCAAGGAAGAGGTTTGATTTTCATCCTCTCTCATCTTCCATCAAGTGCAGCTGTATCCTGACTAGCGTCCAGCTACAGAACGGCTGTCATTGGTCCGTAGCACCAGCTCAGTGCCTCCTCCAGGTGTTGTTTTCCTTTGGCATTGTTGATCTACAACCTGTTGTGCCTCATATGGAAGCTCATTTCCCTGAATGTGGGAGCTGCCGTCTTTTGGTATAGCTAACTCCGTTTTCCACCAGAGTTGTAAGATCTTCAAGAATAGGCTGGGAAAAATCACTACAGAGTTAATTCCCTAGAGTTTCCAAAGCTAATAAACCGTTTCTGCTCCATACATTCCTTTTTCTTTCCCCTTTTTTCTGAGAAAAGGGAGGAGGAGGATGTGGGTGGTCCAAAACCACGTGTCGCTGCCAAAACAGATTCATTCTCAGTGCAGCAGGCGGTCCTGTTCCTCTCATGGACGTTCCTTGTAAATGGATCTTTGTTGTAAAACTTTGCAGGGTTCTCTTCCTAACTCTCCTGCTCCATTGCTACATATTAAAACTGAAATAGAATCACCGCGATGCAACAAAGGGCGAGAAGTAATTGAATTTTAAGAGAGGAGGAAAATGGAAAATTGACATGGAGACTCAGAGAAGATAAACTAAAGCAGCTTACCCTGAATGACAGGGTTTTAAGCACAATGCTTGATTATTAGTTTTGTTTTTTTTCCTGTGTGATGACTTAGATTTCTCCTCTACTCACTGGCAGACTCTCCCTTTGCACAATCGTGCTTTGTCTGGTAAATTTTATTCATCTTACCAATGTTCCCTTTTTCTGAAGTCTTCCTTATTTTGAAGTCTTCTTTAATTCTCCTTGAACTCCCCAGGCTCTCCTTCTTTGTGCTCATACAGCGTATTTTTTTATGTCATTGTAATAGAACACATAGGTATTGTCTTATAGACAATTTATGGTTGCCTTTTTACCGCCAGCAAATTAGGGATAAATGTCCCTCCATGGACCTTTCATTATCATATTAAATTATGTATGGTGGATATGTAGGTATGATTATATATCTATGCATACCATGAAAAATATTATATAATGTCATATTATATATAATACTGTGTATTATATAGTACTTTTTAATGATATATTTTGGTAAAAAATTATTTCACTCACTGCTAATAATGAGAGACAGTAGAATGTAGTAATTAAAACATAGGCTCTCAAGTTGGACAGACCTGGGGTCAAATTCTGTGAAAACCTGGGCAACTTACTTAACCTCCTTGGACCTCAATTTTCTTATTTTTAAGAGGGGAATAATAATGATGCTGTGGCGGCGTGGATAATTTTCTGTCTAACCTTCTGAGTTCTTGGCTGAGAACTTCCTGTGATAAAAGACAGATTAACAAGAGGAAAAATAAACAGAAGTTTACTAACATGTGTACTTCCTGTCTACATGGGAGACACCTGGGGAAAATGAGTAACTCTGAGGTGACCAAAGCCGCCACCTTAAATAGTGTCTTCAGCTAAAGACAAAAGGAAGAAAGGTGTTGGGGGAGGCCACTTAGAGGAGGTTACCAGGAAAAGCAAACAAGGGTAAGGTTATTATGCAAACTTAAGTGGATGCCTTCTCCGTTAATAAGATTCTCTTGTGATTTAGAGTCGTCTTTCTCTTCCAGGTACACAGAGGGAGACACCCTTACAAATAGAGATTTCCTTTATAAATTTACATTTCCCTTACAGAAGGGTAACTTCTACTCTGGTTTTCAGAACTTCTCCTGTGTCTGATATTTCTTAAAATATTTGGCTCAAAATAATCCTTATGCCAAACAGGCATGTTTTGGGGTGGCATATTCTCCCCTTCAATGCTCACCTCAAAGGGTTGTCATGAGGATTAAATGAGCTAATGCATGTAAAGCCCTTAACACAATTCATGACACATACGCACTCAATAAACGTAAGCTGTTATTGTATTATACTCTGCAAGAGTATGTTTTGTTTTTTCATTTAACATGATTTAGTCAGACATTTCCAAAGAAATTTAAAAATCACATCAAAAGTAACTCTAACTTTGTTCTTGATAAAATATAATTTTATGTCAAGATAAAGCCCTTGAGTTTTAAAAATATATAAAATTGTGTTTTAGTTCTCTTCATTCAAAAGAGTGTGAAAAGCTACAACCCTGAGTTAATATCTGACATTATTAGATATCAACAGATTACTTAACTATCCCTCTGTTAAGCATAGAACAGAATAATTTATGATATTAAATAATTAGAAACAATCTGTATGTCCAACAGTAGCAGAATGGTTAGGTTGTCTGTGATGTAGCTTCTAGGTGGAATAAAATGCAGCCATTAGAAATGCTGACTGTCTTGCACACCCGTGTTTATAGCAGCACCGTTCACAACAGTTACGAGGTGGAAGCAACCCATGCGTCGATCAACAGACGAATGGATAAACAAACCGTGCTATACACATACAATGGAATAGTATTCAGCCTTTAAAAAGAATAGCATTCTGACACATGCCACAACATAGATGAAGCTTGAGGACATTACGCTAAATGAAACAAGCCAGTCACAAAAAGACAAATACTGGATGATTCCACTTATATGCGGTACCTAGAGTAGTTAAATTCAAGGAGACAGAAAGTAGAATAGTGGTTACCGAGGGCTGAGGGGAGAGGGAAATTGGGAGTCGTTGTTTAATGCGTACAGAGTTTCGCTTTTGCAGGGTGAAAAATTCTGGAGATTGGTTGCATAACAATGTGAATATAGTTAACAGCGCTGAACTGTATACTTAGAAATGGTTAAGATGGTAAATTTATGTTGTGTGTTTTTTACCACATTTAAAAATAATAAGTAAAAAATGCTGTCTCTGAAGACTATGTAATGATATAAAAAGTACTCCAGGGAACAAGGTAGAGCAAAAGAATCAGGATATGAAAATGTATAAGACATGGGATTGTAACCAGGTACGCTCTATATATTATCCAAAGTGCTTGGAGAGTCTGGGTTTCTGTGGAGCATTTTTTCTCCTATTTCTCATAGGCTTTGTAGTGTGATTATTGGTATTATCATTAAAAATGAATTTTTAGCATGCAAAAATAAAATGATCAGAAGGCAATACACTTCTCTCAGTTCATCATCGTTCATGGCACCCAGAGCAGGATCGCGGCCCGCCTCCACCGGGCTCTGTTTCCCAGGTTTGTTGGAAAGCTCCTGTTTCCTTCTGACCAGTGTCGCCCGAGGTTGAGTGGCCTTCATTACTATGCAGTGGGAAGGGTTCGGTTTACTTCTTCCATTTCTTCCCTCCCACTAACTTTGTAGACTCTGGGAAGTACTGAGCCTGGAGAACAAAGTATATTTTTACTACGGTTTTTATAGTTCCATATTAAGGTGAATAATAAGATACCCCAAAATAACACCCTGCAGTTACGTGGTTTACATGCTTTAAGATTTGAAGGCACTTCAGGAAAGTTTATTTTCATTCCTTTTTCTACCTTCCCTGGTAAGGGTGGTAATAAATCATTTGTAAATGAGGAAAGGGAAGAGACCTGATTTGCATCAAGGCTGCAAATCCTGAGCTAGGACAGGACCTCTGAAATTCTAGCCTGCTGCTTTCAGTGAGTCTTACTATCTACTATGGTAAGAGTATTTCATAGTTTTTAAAAAATCCATTTAATGATTTGGTCAGAGGAGATATCCTCAGTGCAGTTAACGCTTTCTTTTCTTTTTTCTTTCTTTTTTTTTTAATAGGCAGGAAATGTTTCATGCGCCCTCAGCCTCTCCCGAGAGTTTCTTCTCTACAGTACGTATTGATAAAAAGCCACAGCTCTGATTTACCAGGAAATTCCTTCTGCTCCTGGCCTTTAATCCCTGCAAGTGAAATACAGCTATCTATTTTTATTTTTCTAATTTTATAATCCAAAGCTCATTTCTAATTTTGGATTAAATATTACTTACGTACTGATTGCGCATCAGGGGAAATTTTTCACTTAATTGGAAAATGCTAAGAAGATTTTGTTACTGCACAAAGGGCACAATCTGCTCTCTGTGAGACAAAAGCCAGTCATCAAGAGGCAAGATGGCGGCAGAGAAAGGGCATTTCATTACAGCCTGCTAGCAAGAGGGAAGATGGCCGACTAATGTCCAAAAGAACCACCTTAAGGGGGGCACAGAATCTTGAAGCAGATATATAGGCCAGCAGGTTATAGGGGAGGGAGTTAGGAACGTTGACCCTCTGGTGTTACAGACTGGGAGTTGCCACATCAGATCTTTCAGTTTTCATTGATGATGGCTATCAGCATAGACTGTCTGTTTGGGGGGGTCATCACATTCCTAAGGAACTCAAAAGAATGAAGTTATCGTCTTATCGCAGCTGGGAGGTATATACACTAGCAGGGGTCATAAAATCTACAGAACAGGTGGATCTCCTGGAGGGTGCAAATCCAGCCGGGTTAGTTAGAGGTCATTCAAAGTTACAACATGGTTTCTTTTCTACAATATGGCTTCCCTTGTGTCAACCTTTTCTTGAGCTGGTTTCAATATCAACCTGTCCCTTTCCTCCTCCACTCCCCACCAGTTGTATACCAATGTTGCTTCAGTGAAGAACAGTCCAGAATTGGGAGCCAGTTTCTTCAGGGACATTTAAAGAGCTGGGTTTTGGGAGCAGACCTGAGAATGAATGAAATCAGTGAGAGCTGTGTCTGCCAGGAGAGTGACTCAGCAGGATTATTCCCTTTTGCTGCTTTCAAAGAGATATCACTTCTTCCCTTTAAAACAGAGCTTGCTTTGCTCTGCAGGCATCCTGCCCAGTCAGCGCAGAGTTCAGCTGCAGCCCTCTTCAGGGAGCCCCTCGCCAGAGTTAAACAGGGGAGAGACTTGCCAGCTTAGCTGTCTGCTTGGCTATTGGTGCTTAAAATTTTGGTGGTAGATGGCTTCCTAGGTTTGCCTTTAATAAGATATTTAGATACTAGCATAAATACATAATCACTATTATGTTTTAATATTTGTAAAGTCTTTCATGTGGGACTTTACAATTATGTTCTTATCACTTTTCAATGAATCCTAGTAACATTATTCGATTCTGATACTTTGGCAAACAGAAGGATAAGGAAGTAGTTGCATGATCTGGAAACATGTGGGCAATTAATGGTACAGGCAACATAATAACCCAGCCCCCCTTTATTTCTTTGTACTTGATCTATTAAAATCTCTGCCTCTCCCAGAGAACCCAAATTGTGCGCTATTATAGGTGGATAGATAGGACAGAGCAAATTGAGATTCCCAGTTCCATTTCTGGCTTTGCAGTATTTTCATTTGTGTTTTGGGCTCATCATTTCCATTCTCCCACACTTCATTTCTCCTTTTCTTAAAAAAAGGGTGGAAATTTCTCTCCCCTCCTTTTTCCAAGGTGCTGGTGGTGGTGGTGGTTAGAAGCACATTGAGCTCCCCAGAGACAGATGCTTTGGCAGCATTAGAACAATTCAGCCCTCCTTCTGAAATGCGCTGAAAAACATGCACAGAGGCTAGCAGACCAAGGGAGCTGTCAACCCACAGGGCACTTGCCCCTAAAGTGGTCACAAACAGGTGGGCACAAACAAGGCACAAGGCCTCTGTGGGAACCCAGACTAGAACCGAAGTCTGGAACCCCTTTGTCCCATACTGCACTGCTCTGTGTCTAGGCCAGTTAGGAATTTTGAAGGCCCTAGTAGAGTTGGGAATAAATTAGCTTCCAGTTCTCCAGGGAAGAAGAGGTTGGGTCTCTCTGCTGTTGGCTTGGCTCTTTGAACTTCTCTTTCATAGCCCTTACTTGTTGTGTTTTGTTGTGAGTAGTTACTTAATGTGTCTTTTCTCCCTCAGACTCTAAACTCTGGGAGGTTAGCCTCTAGCGCAGTGTCTGGTACATGGCACTTATTCACTGAAGATTTACGGAATGAATGAGTGAATGAATGAGTGGAAGAATGAAGCTTCTTCCCTATACATAAAACTTTAACCATCACTCCATCCTAGAGCTGCCATCTCGATGACCCCTTGGTTTAAGTACCACTTACCCTCCCAAAGTCCGGTGTGCCTTCAGATCTACCAGGCCCAACTCAATCTCAATTAATTACTCCATTAATACCAGATACTCTTCTGGCAATGAGGGCCTCACATCCTCCTGTGCATGGACACAAGGAGTTATTCGGAGTGTCCAGTTGTCAGTCGTGTGCAACAGTGATGATGTGGGAAGCCTTGGCAGCACTCCTTGCCACCACTGTTTGTTAATCTGTATTATTCCTTGCTGTGATTTCTCCCAGGCCCAGATAATAAGAGGATGGCCAGGAATGTCTTGAAATATGAAAAGCTCTTGGCAGAGAGCCCCAACCAGGTGGTAGCTGAGGCTGTCATCCAGAGGCCCAATGTACCCCACCTGCAGACCAGAGACACCTACGAGGGATTATGTCAGACCCTGGGTTCCCAGGTAGGATTCCTCGGGGAAAGAGTTGGGGGAACAGGCTTGGCAAGAGAGGGAGATGGTAGAATTGGGACAGTGTGAGGGGAAAGGGCTGATGCATTAAAAAAATGTGAAGCTCACCTGGATGCATCAGTGACCACATTTTGAATCTCTTGCATTTCAGTTTTTTATACCACAGTTCCCCTAAATTGGTTTCTGCTCCCAGACTCTTCTTCTCTTTGTTTTTTGTTGTTTTTTTTTTTTTTTTTTTTTTTGGTGAGGAAGATTATCCCTGAGCTAACATCTACTGCCACTCCTCTTTTTGCTGAGGAAGATTGGCCCTGAGCTAACATCTGTGCCCATCTTCCTCTACTTGATATATAGGACGCCTGCCACAGCGTAGCTTGATAAGCAGGGCATAGGTCTGCGCCCAGGATCCGAACTGGCAACCCTGGGCCCCCAGAGTAGAGTGCGTGAACTTAGCTACTACACCACCTGGCCGGCCCCAGACTCTTCTCTTATGCTGATTCTAGTCTTTCCTTCCAGCCCACACACTACCAGATCCCTAGCCTCTACTGCTCCTATGAGACCAACTCCAGCCCCTTCCTGCTGCTCCAGCCCGTCCGGAAGGAGGTCATCCACCTGGAACCCTATGTTGTTCTCTACCACGACTTTGTCAGTGATTCGGAGGCTCAGAAAATTAGAGGGCTTGCAGAACCATGGGTGAGTGTCCCCAGAGCCTGCCAAGAACTTCCCTTTGTGTCTTCACATGCCTGGAGCTCAGGAATGTGAGAACAGGCAGCCTGAATAACTAGACACTTCATCAGTCCAGTTCAAAATGCCAACCATTCCATAAAACTAATCAATGGTGAGAAAAATCACAGTAGTGGTTGCTTCTGGAGGGAGGGCATTGGCTGGGAAAGGGAACGTGGGGATTTTCTGGGGTGTTGAAAATGTGCTCTCAATATCTTGTTAGGGATGTGGAGTACTCGGCTGTATGCATTTGCTAAAACTCAGAAAATGGTACATTTGAGATCTTTTTGTATCATTGTATGTAAATTTAACTAAAAAAAAAGTAAAAGGACCCTCCCCCCAGGTGTCAGTCATTCCATGTAATTGGTAGAAGAAAAAAATGGGTGAAATGAAAGGGCAAGGACTGATATCCTAGTACAGATTTATGGAATCACAGAGTGGAAAGATGATCTAGTTCAACTTTATTTTGCTAAAGAGGAAACTGAGGCACAGAGTGGGGCAGGGACTTGATTAAGGTCACACATGAAGCAGGAGCCAGAGCTGGAACTTAGAGGTACATTGATTGTTGCTCTGTTATTCTTCCTTCTTGTGTCAGTTAGCTTAGGTTAGGTTATGTTTGGTAACAAGCAGCCCCACATCTCAGGGACAATAACAATAAAGGTTTGCTTCTCCCTCACATTACGTGTCTGTCTTGGGCTGGCTGCCCCACGCTGTCTTCACTTTGGGACCCAGCCTGACAGAGCGGCCTCTGCTTGGGACATTGCCAGTCTCATGAGAGAGGAAAAAGACAGAGATGGAAAACTGCCGGCTGGCTCTGAAAGCTTCTGCTTGGAAGTGCCAGACATTACTTCGGTCCGTGTTTTATCGGTTAAGGCCAAGTGTGCGGCCACCACGGCAGTCAACAGGGAGAGCATGTCTAGTCTTCCCCAGGGAAGGCGCTGCAAGTCACAGTGCTGAGCTTGATGTCGATGGGGAGGGCACGTTTAATCCTCCTCCAGGAAGTGTGGCAAATATTTAGAAATAATACAGTCTACCTCACCACCATAAGCATGTTGCCTCTTGGCAAACGGCACGTTGAGACTGTCTCAGAATTACTTGTGTCATTGTGCCCTTAATGATGTGCCGTTCTTCCAGGCAGCCATCCAGTCGTCTGTCAACAGAACGGAGCCTGCTGAGTACCAGACACTGTGCTGAGCGTGGGCTTTTACAGAGAGATTGAGTATTGGTCCTTTCCCTTTAGGAGCTTACTGAGGAAAAGGGGAAAACAGACGTTGAGCATACAGTGGGATGCGTGCTGTGACAGAGGTGTGTGCAGGCAGCTGTGCTGTGGCAGCATAAAAAGAGGACCTTCCTCTGAGGGAAGGGCAGTTGGTTGAAGAGCAGGTGGGGGGAGAGGAGGAAACAGAGAAGGCTTCCCTGTGGGTGTGAAATTCATCAGAGTGACAAGACGGCAAAGGGTATTCCAGGAAGACAAAACCGTATGTGCAGGGGCCTCATGCAATGTGTTCAGAGAATGAGGGGAAGCTCGGTGGCTGACGTGTGCCAGGCGGGAGTGAGAGGTGATGGAGATGAGCCTAGACAGTGAGACACCGTTAGGACGCACCGTAAATACCGTGCTGGGGAGTTTGGACTTTATTTCATAGGTGGGGTAGAACAGCTGGACAGTTTTAAATAGGAGATTGGTGTGATCAGATCTGTGGATTTTAAGGAAGACTCTGATAGCAAACATGGATTGGAGAGAGAAGAGTAGCAATAATCATTTTATCCAAAAGCCCCTCCAGTGAAGTCGAGAATCTTTGTACAGAAGGTTTTTGAGACGATTAAGCTCCACTGGTGAATTGGAACAATGTATTTTCAATAGCTTCAGTTTCTCAGTGAGCCAGCGGTAGCGTTTGGCCAGCAGCTATTTTTTCCTTGGACCAACTCTGTTGCCATGGTAACAGGACAGGCGGCCCACCCGGAGATATTTATTTAATCTTTCATGGCCAGGTCATCTACTTGGCATGCACAGATCTTGCCACACTCCCTTCCCCCAGAAGCGTCTTGCTGGAGTTGCTAATCCCTGTCTAGTCTTTGGCTCTGCCAGGAACAAGTCCTGGCTTGTATGGTGTGGCTGCTCCGTGGGACCTGAGCACAGATGCCTCAATGGCTTGTGTTGAATTTATTTGCTTCCTATTCACTATCTCTTGCCCAAAGAATGCTCTCTCGTCAGTTCTCCCCCATCCACATCCTGTCCATCCTTCAAGACTTAGTTGAAACCCCGTGCCTCCCTTGGCCTGCTAGCCCTGACCATTCTAGCCCATTTTCATTGGTTATTTCACTAGGAACATTTTTTCAGAGCACTTTTTGGGGCTACCTACAATACCCCTCCTCTGAACTCAAAGCTTTTGTCATCAGTTGTTTGGTACTTTTGTTTATTCTGCCATGTACGTGAAGTTTGGTGTCACTAACAGTTTCGTGGGTCAGCATCCTGTCTCCCCAAGTAGACTATAAACTGGCAGGGCTCATACGTTGTCCTTCTTGAAATGCCTAGCTCCATATTATGCCCATCGCAGCCAGAGTAATCTTTAAAAGGTCAAATCTGACCATGTCAAGCCCTTCCTTAAACTCTTTGAGGGGTGACTTTTGTTCTTGAATGATTCCAAAGCTCCTTGGCCTGGCTGCTGCCGACCCTTTCTGCAGCCCATCCCCCTCGCACCCCGCACCCCAGCTGCACTGAACAACTTGGATCTCCGTGAACGGGCCGTGTTCTCGCCAGCCTCCCCACGCACTCTTCCCTCTGCCTGAAGCACTCTTCCCTTGGCCTCTTTTCAGTTGTCTGATTCCAGTCGTCTTTTGGGCATCCTGGGATGCCTTTCTGTCCCTCATAAGAATGGGCTAGATGCTCCTTCTCTGTATTTCTATAGCACCCTGCACTTGCCCAGTAGGGCCCCGTTGCAAGACGTGTCTGCCTTCCACTGTTGTATTTCCGGTGCCTACCACAGTGCTTAGCATGGAGATCAACCAATAAATATTTGTTCCTAAAAATGAATGACTTGTAGGTGTACAATAAATAATTGTTATAAGGAATTAAGTGCAAGGTGACTTCTTAATGGAGGGGAGGGTTGGAGTGGAGATTCCCTAGGATTTTTTTTCTTTAAACCACTGATGTTGCCCTGAAAGAACAGAAGGGAGCATCTCTCCTCTATGAATCTCTCCTCCTCCTTTAGGAATCTCTCCTCTTTCCTCTGTGACTGGCTTGGGGGAGGATGCTGGAACAACTGGCAAAGGACTAGAGAGAGGCAGTATCAGTCACCCACGGAGTTCCTGTGTCCTGATATTGTAGAGAGACTGAGAGCGACTTCCCAGAATGTGTTGTTCACATGCTGCATTTACAGCTAAGGAAACAGGTCCAAGGAAAGGAAGAGGCTTTTCTCAGCTTGTCTACTTGGTTTAGCAGCAAGAGCAGTAATATGAAGGAAGCCTCTGCAAAGGGAAGTGGTGTCTGTCTTGTGCGGGTCATTGCCCCGTGCTTTGCTCTAACTGCGTGTCAAGTGCCAGGGCTGGGTCTTTAAGCATGGTCTCTGGTTCATTCCTTCGTTTGTTCATTTCACCAATATGGAGCACCCACTCCCTGCCGGGCCTTCTCTGGACCCTGGGGATACAGCATGGACGAAAGACCAAGTCCTCACCCTCATGGAGCTGACATTATATGACAGATGCAGAAGTAGACACATCCTTACATAAGTAAACAGTGTTTCTCTTTCTGTCCCTGGTACAGTGCTTTTGCAATAAGAAGCCACTTTATTTAAAAATAATTTAAAATTTATATCCAGACATTCAGAGCAGCATAGAGACATTCAGTTAAATAGTGACCTCTAACCTGTTTGGGATTTTTTTTCCCCCATAATCAAGGCAGTTGCAGCAAAAAAGATTTTGATTTTCTGTAAGGAAGGGCTTTTGTCAGAATTGCTCAGAAGGAGCAGGCTTCAGAAGGTGGAGAGTGTCCTGTTGTTGGGGGTGTTCATTTAATTTGACAAACGGCCAGGCCCCATGCCACTGGAATACAGAGATGAATGAGAAATAGCTCTTGTTCTTACAGAGTTCACAGTCTTGCGGATGTAAAAGGGATTCAAATATCAGTTTATTTCAGTTCAACCAACTTTCATTGAGTGCTTAGTGTCTACCAGACGTGATGCTAAAGGTTATTTTCAACTCTGAGATTTTTAGGCCACTTACTACTTCTTTTTCCAAGCTCGATAGCTATCACTAAAGTAGTAGTAGCAGGTGCAACATATCTTTTAATCAGGGAGGAAGTGGCGATTGTTAGATTTATGTTTAAGAGAGGGGCGTGTCTGTGGAAATGACAGAGCCCTTCCCTTCGCATCATAACCACTTGGACTTTCTCTTCCGTCCTTCACATCAGCTACAGCGATCCGTGGTGGCATCCGGTGAGAAGCAGTTACCAGTGGAGTACCGCATCAGCAAAAGGTGAGAGACATCCTTCCTTGGCAGGCACTCTAGTCATACCTGCTGCCTGCCGTTGAGCCCTTGGCACAGGTGATTGAAGGTCATCAACAGCCATTCAGGGGCCATCAGAGATGCCACTCGAGGACCTGTAGTTCACGTTTATATCTGTACGTTCTTGTTAAGAGGAAGAATTTTCCACTCCCCTCACCCCAGGGCCTTCCACAGATTGTTATATGGTCTGAGGACTTAACTAGGAGGCCATTAGGGAAAGACTTGACAAAGCTCCTGTGCCCTAAACCGGAAAATAAATGTGTAGTTGTTCTCCCAATCAGGATTGCTTTTCCAAAGAATACAGTCCAGTCCCCATTTGGAATTTGACTTTACCAGATTCCATTCCCACCTCTTGACTCATAGTCAAAGCTTGACTTGCCAACATCCAGGCAAGAAGGATGGCCAGAATCTCTGAACCTGATGGCTTCCCTAGAGGGCAGATTCAGCGGGGAGCGCCCAGCTTTAGCCCCTCCCCTCCATCCCTGGCCATCCCTCTGCAGCCCTTGATTTGTAGTGTAAGGACAGGACTAGTGATACAGTAGGAGGAAGGGTCCCCATCAGAGCCATGGGAGACAGTGACAACAGCATCCTTGGGGAGAGGCCAGACCTCAGGATGAGTGGATGGTTTTTGTTGCCTTGGAAGTGAGGCGAGTGATGAAAGCTTTGGTTCAGAATCATTTGGCTTAACTTATTTGGTCTGGTACTTTTAGAGACCTTTCACATTAGGAATTATTCTCTAAACTTTGGACAGTCCATACAACCTCAGCTTCATTGCTGTCCTAAACTTTCTGATATTGTAGTGTCAAAGAGAAAATTCAGCCTTCTATTTAGAGTCACTGCTTTTAGGGGAGTAGGTGGTATTCTTTTTACTTTTCAGGTAAAGAAACTGAGACACTCATTGCCTCTTTCTTCCCTCCCATCCCTCTGACCCCTTTGAATTTTGGTTCTGTCCTCACAACTTCACTGGAACTGGTCCCTCAAAGGTCACCAGTGAACTCCTAATCGCCAAATCATTTTTCTGCCCACGAACCTTCACTGGCTCTCCACTACCCACAGAGCCCAGTTTTCTTACCTCGGTGTCCTCAGCTTTCTGCAACATGCCCTCAACCTACTTTTCCAGGCTCATCTCCCATTACTTCTTTCATAGACCAGATGCTTTCCCATTTGTACACACTGTGTATTTTCACGCCTCCCTGGCTGTGCTTAGGCTGTTTTTTTCAGCCTGGAGTACCCCTGTGTCTTTTCCTTCCATTGAAATTTTATGCGCCCTTCAAAATTTGGCCTACACGTCACCATCTTACCTCAGTGCCCCAGTCAAAATTAATGTCTCCTTCCTCTGTGTTCCGAGCACTTTACTTTAAAGGCTGTTTCTCATTTTTCATTCGACCTTGATTTGTACTCAGTTATATTTGTGTCTTTTCCCATGAGCTCTTTGAACACAATAGCCTTGTCTTGGATATCTTTGTAAACCTAGGAGCACATAGCATAGCACGTCCCACGCACTCCATAAGAGAGAATGAACAAATGAATCCATCATTTATAGAGCAAAGAAGTGGTCTTCCCGTGTCCTGCCCAGGCTCCTCCCTTCAGAGCCTTCGTTGTCTCCCCAGGAAGCTCACGGCCTTTTCTTGGGGAGCACTGCCTCTCTTCCCGGGGACCTACGTTCTCATTCCAAATCCTCCACTTTGTCAGAACCTCAACAAGACATTCAGGAAAAGGGACTGAACTTTGCTCTTTGGGCTTTGAACTACCCTGATTTGTCTTGGAATAGAGCAGAAGAGCAGAGACTTTTCTGTTTTACAGCAATCACTAACGTACAGCTGACAAAGCATCTTCATAAGCATTTTCTCTCATGATCTTCACAACTCTGTGAAGTAGGTATTATTATCATCCCATTTGATAGATGAACAAACTGAACCTTAGTGAGGTTAAAGGTTAAGTGCCTGACATGGGGTCACGCAGAGGATCAGGGACTGGTCTTACTAGTCTGAATTCCAAGCTCTTTCCATTGCACTCAGCTCCCTCTGTTGAAATGTCTCTAAAACAGAGCAGTTTTAAAGGCCAAGTTTGTCTTCTTCCTCTTTATATGCCAGTGCCTTGTGCTGTAAACCTTTACTCTGTAGCCTCAGAGCCTAGCACAGGGCCTGGCATTCGGCAGGCCTCAGAGAATGTTTGTTGAATGAATGAACATGTGAATGTTGAGAGAGAGACAAAATGGACTGGGCAGACTTAACATGAGTGAGTAGGTAATTACGCGTTTGTGTTAGCTTCCTGTCCTCCCTTCCTCCCTCCCTCCTTCCCTTCCTTTCCCCATGCTTTCTTCCTTCCTTCCCTCCAGCCCTCCTGCCTCCCCTCCTTCTTTCCTTCCTTCCGGCAATTGACATCATTCATTCATTCACAGACATTTAGTCATTTCTGGCATCAGATCGCTGATGCTCTCATCTGTGGTGTGTTTTAGTGCCTGGCTGAAGGACACCGTTGACCCAATGCTGGTGACCCTTGACCATCGCATTGCTGCCCTCACAGGCCTTGATGTCCAGCCTCCCTATGCAGAGTATCTCCAGGTGGTGAACTATGGAATCGGCGGGCACTATGAGCCTCACTTTGACCATGCTACGGTAACTATGGGGTCAGTGACCAATCTCCTGGGTAGGGAACCAGGGTATTGTTTATTTCCCTGAGGCAGAGCTCTTATAGGGCTCTCAGGGAATAAGTGAAATCTTAGAACAGAAGTTCTTGTTCCAGGAAGATCTGAAAGCCTTGGTTTCAAGCTGATTGCTGCTGACTCATTTTCTTATGCCACCATCCTCCTCTCCAAGATTCGCTAGTGGGGAGAAGAATGTGGCCTGTCCTGGAGTCTTCTGTCCTGCTTCACTCAGGGACTTCCCAGTGAAGATTGTCCTTCCTCCAGTCACTCCTTTCTTTATGATCTCAACTGCTCGTCTTTGCTGACAGATACTCAACAAATAATTTTTGAGGATTAAAAGATATCCCCAAAATTGATCTATAGATTCAACCCAAACTTTATAAAAATCACAAAAGGCTTATTTTTATAAAAATCAACAAGCTGATCCTAAAATGTGTATGGAAATGCAAAAGACCTAAATTAGCCAAAACAATTTTGAAAAAGAACAAAGTTGGAGGACGTATACTCCCTGATTTCAAAACATAATATAGAGCTCCAGTAATCAAGGCAGTGTGGTATTGGTGTAAGAGTAGACACATAGGTCAGTGGAACAGAATAAAGTCCAGGACGTTTATGGTCAATTGATTTTTGACAAAAGTGCCGAGGAACTTCAATGAGCAAAAGATAGTCTTTCCAACAAATGGTACTGGAACAATTGAATCTATCTGTGAAATAATAATAATAGTAACAACAATTTTAGAGCCTTTCCTCACACCATATACAAAAATTATCTCAAAATAGATCATAGACCTAAATGTATAATGCAAAACTATAAAACTTTTAGGAGAAAACATAGAAAAAAATCTTTGTGACCATGAGTTAGGCAAAGATTTCTTAGATAGGATAGCTAAAACATGATCCATAAAAGAAAAATAAAAGTGATAAATTGGACCTCATCAAAATTAAAATCATTTGATTTTCAAAACACCATTAGAAAATGAAAAGACAAGCCACTAACTAGGGGAAAACATTTGCAAATCATGTATTTGATAAAGGACTCATATCCAAAAATACAAAGAACTCTTATAACTCAATAATAAGACAACTCAATTTTTTAAAATGGACTTCTTTGAATTAATACTTTGAATAGGTTAATAATCAAATAGATTATTTGAATGGGCACTTCACCAAAGAATATAAATGAATGGCTAATAAGCGCATGAAAAACTGCTCAACATCATTAGGGAAATGAAAATCAAAACCACATGAGATAGCACTGCACTCCTATTAGAATGGCTAAAATAAAAAGGATCATATCAAGTGTGGAAAAGGATGTGGAAGAACTGGAACCCCCATATGATGCTGATGGGAATGTAAAGTGGTACAGACACTTTGGAAAATAGTTTGGCAGTTTCTTAAAAAGTTAAACAGGGCCGGCCTCATGGCTGAGTGAGTTTGCGCACTCTGCTTTGGCGGCCTAGGGTTTCACCAGTTCGGTTTCTAGGCACAGACATGGCACCACTCGTCAGGCCATGCTGAGGCGGCATCCCACATGCCACAGCCAGAGGCACTCACAGCTGGAATATACAACTATGTACTGGGGGACTTTGGGGAGAAGAGTAAAAAAACAAAACGAAACAAAACAAAACAAAACACTGTGCTAAGTGAAAGAAGCCCAACACAAAAGACTACATGTTTTATGATTCTATTTATGTGAAATTTCTAGAAAACGCAAAACTATAGAGACAGAAAGCACATCAGTGTTTGGCCGGTGTGGGGGATGGGAGTAGGAATTGACTGCAAACTGACGTCAGAGAACTTTTTCAGCTGACTCAAGTGTTCTAAAATTGGGTTGTGGGAATGGTTGCACAACTGTTAAAATTTACTAAAACTCATTCAGAAGTACTCTTACAATGGGTGAACTTTATGGTGTGTAAATTATATCTCAATTAAACTGTTTTATGACAAAATGTATGTCTTCAGCAAATAATGGGGAACTCTAGTCTTATGACTTGGTGTTCCTACAGAATAATTATCTATAATAGGTTATATATTAATTTCTTTATTTCGTTGAGAACCTGAAGGTACAATTAACCCTTCATAGAGTACTTTCACTACTGACAAGCAATTCTGTTTGATTAGTATACAATTCACTTAATATGAGTATCTAATAAATTAGTAAAAGAAAAAACGTATATTGAGTATGTGCCAGCAGAGATGGGCACACACTCTACTAGGTGTGGCTCAATGCCGTATCCCATCTGTGACACTCCCGTTTTTCTCTTCCCTGTTTTATGGCGGAATCATGGCTGTTACTCTGATGCCATCTGCATGAAATAATGATATGTTCTGTTTTTGTCTCAGTCACCAACCAGCCCACTGTACAGAATGAAGTCTGGGAACCGAGTTGCAACATTTATGATCTATGTGAGTCTTGCTTTGGAGGGACCAGGGCTTCTTACTTAATGACTATTTATATCACTTTTCTTTTATGGTTTTCAAAGCAATATCAGATTTTGATTTTATCTGATACAGCACAAAAATCTCCAGGACTTCTGTGAATTTCAGATAGCATTTTTGTTAGCACTGTAGGAGATATAAAGAAATTTAAGTCCAAGTTCCTGCTCTCAAAGAGCTTACAGTGTGTAGACCTGAATGTGATCTTGTTGCAGGCAATGATTAGGATGGGAAGTGGGGTCACATTGGAAGCCAAGAGACCCTGGGACCTCACCGACACAGGAAGAGGACGTGAGAATCTCTCTCTTTGAGGTCCCATGGACTAGTTGGTGTTGAAAAGCATGGACCTATAGATGAGGTTGTGGAGCTGCGAGGGGAAAGAGAGAAGAGAAACGAGGCAGCTAAGATCACAAGAGGGAAGAACAGAGAGGCCTACAGAGAAATTCAGTAAATGTTGCCCTCTCACATGTAGTGAAAATTCTCTTCCTTATCTCTCCATAAAATCTTCAGCAAAATCTTCATTACAGCCCTTTAAAAAATAAATTGGCGTCCTCTCCTAATTTCTGACCTGATCCTACAGGATTCGGCCCCAGTCTTTATCGTCTCACCTAAACCCTTCCCTTCAGATCATATGGGTTTACCTCCTTCTCTATGGACAAGTCATAATTTCAGTCATCTGTCATTATGAGAGGTGTGTTACTGTCAACTGAAGGGATAAACATGCTAACTAGAAGGGCTCTATATAACACTCAACGATGAAGTCCTGGTTTCAGGCTCAGCACACTAGCAGACACCCCTCCCCGGCATCCCCTCTTTTCTTAGTGCTGTGTCTCGTCTCCACAGCGCAGCCAAGAAAGGGCGATCAGAGGCTGGCACTCCATGGTCTTTAGTGCTGGCAATTCCAGCATGTTTTTTCATGTGGCTCAGTTTTATACTTCCTGCAGAACACCGCTTCTAATGGTGTCTGGCCTCTGGTGGTCATTCTGAGTGTTCCAACAGGCACAGAGGGATAGCTGACGTCAGCTCTCCAGGCAGAGGGCACGTCTTGGATCAACAGCTGGTTGCATCTCTGGTTGATGACTCAAGCTGGCATGGGAGGTCACAGGCAGTGACGAATATTGATATCAATCAAAGACTAGGACATCTAGGGGCCAGTTTCTCTCTGTTCTTTGCCTCCGTAATATCTCCTACAGCTGGTTCTCTGGTTACAAAGGCCCAGTTACTATGGTAAGGGTAGCGTGGATGCAAGAGCCCAGCAATTTTATGGCGGATGCGTGTGTGTGTGTGTGTGTGTGTGTGTGTGTGTGTGTGCACGCATGCGCACATGCATGTGTATTTGGTTTTAAGCATCTGAGACAGAGTGGAAGGGAATGTGCTTTGGGTTTGGAGTCACTTCGCCTATTCTGGTTCTGCCACTTAATATGTGGCCTCAGCACCAATCACATCAATTCTTTGAGCTCTTTTTCTTGCCCTGCACCCCTCACAGGGTTGTCATGAGGATCTGATGAGATAATCTAAGGGGATTTCACTCTGTAAAGTTTCATACAATATGCCTCTGTCATTGTATCCCACAAAGCAAGTATGGGACCCCGTAAAGGGGCGCCTGCGTCGTGGGACCTAGGAAGTGCTAGGTTGTGCCCAATTCTTTCATCTTCAGGTCGGGGTAAAGACCATCGTAAACATTTCTAAAGACAAGTATTAAGGTTTGTGGAGAACATGAGAGTAATATTGTAGGGAGAAAATAATCTTTAAGATTCGCAGAGGATTGAGTTATAATCGAGTTAGTGATTTTCTGCTCAGACTGGTAGAAGATCAGTCCCGGTAGAAAACAGTGGCAGGTTCACAGAGGGAAGATTTCCCTCTCCTCCCCACAGATCTCATAGTCCTGCTCACCAGCTTCATAGCACGCAGGTCAGGTTCTCTTTTTAAGCTGTTGGACAAGTCTTTCCTTCCCCATACACTGTGAGACCACAGGTAAAGGAATGCAGGAAAGTCCAGGTTCCTTCAGTTGTATCTTGCTTACACCCACAGTGGCTGACAGTGGGGGTTAGAACAGAATCATCCAGTTTGTTAGCTACTTAAACACAAGCAGCAAATTGTTGCTTTCGTTGCCCTTCCCAAAGGGATACAAGGGAAGCCAAGAAATGTTATAAAAATCACCACTGCCATTTCCAGGTTCGGAATCCCCAATTCAGTTCAGTTTCCTCCAACAAGTGCCAACATCCTACCTCCTAGAGCCCTTGTGTAACTCGGGTGAATATGGTGGCATCCATGAATGTTCTGGTGGACAGTTAGCCAGGGGGACGTAAGACTGGCACTCTCATGTCATGCTGCTGGTGAGAAAATAATTCAGCAGTTATGTCTCAAAAGTGTTCAGCATGTGCATACACTTTTCACCCAATAATACCAATGTTTGGACTCTTTCTATGAAAACAATCTAAAATGCAAAAATGACTTTATTCATTAAGATGTTCAGTGCAGTGTTGTTTATAATAGGAAACATTTGGACATGACCTGAGTGTTCAAGAGTACATCATCAAGGCTACGAGCAGGGACTTTGCAGTTAGCATGGGCTCTGTGCAAATCCTGGCTCAGTCACCGAAGAGTTATGTGACCTTTTGTAAAGTACTTGATCTCTCTGAGACTTGGTTTCTTCATCTGTAAAATGTGAATAATGACAATAACCATCCTAACTTATAGGATTGCTGTGAGGAATAAGTGGGATAATATATTGGTAAGGACTTAGTATAATGCCTAGCGTATAGTCAGTGCTCAATAAATGTCAGTTATTAGTATGTAAACTATAATAAGCTTTTTTTCTGGATGGCAAGATGATGAGTAATATTATTTTTCAGTATTTTCCTGCATTTTTCAAAATTTTTATGGTTTTTTTGACAACCAGAAAAAAATCTTCATATTAATAAAACACATCCATCGTTCTAGAATATACCAATGGTGAAGCTCTGTGACTGAGCTTACGTAGAGAGGGACTGAGTGATCTGGGAAACACCACAAAGATGTAATCAGTAGTTCCTATGATGCCCAACTTTCAAAACTAATTGTTGTAGTCTAAACAGTATTCTGCAAGCCACAGGTCATCGTCCATTAGTGGGCTGTGAAATAAATTTAGTGGATCTGGTCTGCATTTAAGAAATCTGAACTAGAAGAGAATAACATAAAATGGAAAATAACAGAGGGTATGTCTTATAGTAAGAATGTTTTATGAAACTTTTACTTCAGAGGTGTGTGTGTGTGTGTGTGTGTGTGTGTGTTTGTCTTGGGTTGTGACATAAACTATAATTCTTCCTGAGGGTCTCAAAGTTTGAATCGCTTATTGTAGCCCTCAGTAAGGTTGTTAGCTGGAAGGATATAGAAAGGGGGAATTCCTGAATATTATCCTTCGTGGCCCCATAGGCAAACGCTGATGCCGTTGAGTAGGCTCCTTAATTCCTAAATTGGGTGTTTGTCTTTCAGTAAGTATTTCTTGTAGAGTTGAAATAGGGGAGCACAGGAGGGAACCTAAACAGAAATGGCATCAGGGGCCAAGTAGGGCAGAGCAGGGCATCCAGGGGCTATTTCAACCCTGGCTCTCCCTCTGGCGTTCTAGCTGAGCTCAGTGGAAGCAGGAGGAGCCACAGCCTTCATCTATGCCAACTTCAGCGTGCCTGTTGTCAAGGTGAGTGGGGGTCTGGTCCCAACAGATGGTGGCTATAAGAGTGAAGAACTAACACCCTAGTTTTCCTGCTGTCTCTGCCTGCAAGCTTATTCCTGGGAGGGGGGCAAAAAGAGGTCTTGCCTGATTCCCAAATCAAAGATAATCCCTCAGTCTTCTTGATGACCCCATTACTTGTGCCTCTATTTTTTATTTTATTTACACTTACATTACAAGTAGATGATTACGTGTCTGCCTTCTCTATTACAAGAGAGCTCCTCAAAGGGAAGAACTCTATTTTACTCACCTTTGGATCCTCTACGGCAACTGGTCCCTTCACTCATTCCTTCAGTAAACATCAAGGGCTGGAGACACTGAGGGTACTGAGGAAGACTCAGTTCTCGTCCCCCAGGAGCTCACAGAGAATGGGGCACAGGCAGTGACAACGTATTGTAATAAGAGCTATGGAATCAAGTGAGACAGAGGAGGGTCGTGTGGCGAGAGGTTTGTTTAATGAATGAATATTTCCCTCAGATTTCAGATCAATCAAATTCCCTGACAGCCCTTACCTGACTCAGGAAGTCATGACTATAAAGCACTTAGCAGACTGCTGGCACATCCTAAGCATTTCAAGAAGTAAATGCTGGGTATCTATGAAAACTCGGGGCTGGCATCTCTCCTAGGCTTGGGAATGCAGTGGCTGTCACTGCATCCTGGAAAGCTCTCCAGTACTTGGGCTTTGTCTCCTTCTAATGGCCCAGGTTAAAGTCAGTCTATAGGAAATGTATAGGGAAAAAAGCTGGGTATAGGGGAAAAAAAGCATATTTAGGATTTGGAGTCAAAACACCTGGGTTTGAGTTAGCTCTGTCTTAGTTGCATTATTTAAAGCCCCTAAGCCTCGACTTCCTTGCTGGTAAAGTGGGGATTGTGATAATGCCTTCTTCCTGGGGGCGTTACACTCAGTGTCTAAGGAAGGGTAGGTTCTTAGTTGTATGAGGGATGTTTTGTTCCCCATTGTGGTTCTGGATGAGTGCCTCTCCTCAGTGATCCAGCGACACCCTGCGCTCACTGTTCTCTCAGCACTTGTCAAACTGTCTTGTCCTGGTCTGTTTTTATATCTGTCTCTCAAACAAGACTGAGCTCCCTGAAAGCAGAATTGGACATGATTTGTCTCCGCCTCCTCAGGGCCTGGAACACAGTAGGCCCTCAGTAAATGATGTATGCATGAATGAATGAGTAAATGGCAATTTAGGCCATTTGGTGCCATTTTACCCATGCCTTGCCCCCAGTCTGCATGGACAGCTTTCTTGTTTAATGACATGCATGCATTTGTTCTCAGTCATGTGCTTCCAAAGGACTGAGATTCTGGGTTGACCGTCTCTGGGGCGGGGCCCTCTTGTTTTCAGAATGCAGCACTGTTTTGGTGGAACCTGCATAGGAGTGGTGAAGGGGATAGTGACACACTTCATGCTGGCTGTCCTGTCCTGGTGGGAGACAAGTGGGGTAAGGCCTCTTTCTGGGCACGAGAATGGGGTGAAGGGTTCAGAGTAAAGTGAAATGGGGATGGATGGAAAATAGCATAGCCTTTTCATTCTACAAGCTTCGTTACAGTGCCACATTGTATTAAGATCATCAGATTCTGGGTTAATTGCTCCCAACAGATTGGGAGCCCGTAAAGGGCAGGGATCCTGTCACAGAGCAGGTACCAGAAAAAGTTTATTGACCTGACCAGCTGGATCTTGATTCGTAAGCACAGCTGAGGAGGACTATGGTGCTAAGTCCCAGCCCTCCATCCAAGGAGAGAACCATCAAGCCATGATGACCTCTACCATTTAGTGCCTCCCCATGAGGAGATGATCAGACGAGGAAGAGATAAATAAGGAGCACATGTATTTATGTCATATATGT